TGTGGAAGGAGGGTAGGGAGGCCTTTGGCCTGCAATGGGACGACTATGACTAAAACAAATAAATAAAAACATTCAGTGATTCCTTTCCCACCTTAAGAAAAGGAGAAGGTACTAAGTTCGGCTGATTGTTTTGTTTTTGTTTGTTCACCAATTACTCCTTTTTATATTATAAATGGCATTGGACATGAATACTTACAAAAAGTATTCAACACTTCGTGTCCCATGGAGGGCAAACAAAATAATTATTTGCCCTCCCCTAAATTGGCGATCCTGAGCTATTATGCAATATAAAGGTGACGTAAAAGTCTTTTAATTCTATTTCTCCAATAATACCTCCTGTGATTCTGTGTTATATCTGAAGTAGTTGTTCATAAATATCCATGTAGGACATCCATGCATGCATGCACGAATTGACCGGACTGATACCATGGCCTCACAGATATGGTAGAACAACGCTTGCCTTACAAGGCAAGACATTGTGTCTTGCCTTGTAAGGTTTCGGCAGGTCCTTTGCTTCCTAAAGACTGGTATCGCACTTGTAAATCGTCTGATATATTGTATGTTTACTAGTGGCGCTGATCACTTGCCATCAGGTAATCCATCTGGTGCCAAAAAAATTCTGAGCTAAGCTCTATATGGACTCAAGTTTGTAAATAGTAATTTAATAGTTAATATTCATGTTATTTAATTATGTATATATTTGTTAAATAAGATAATAATGTTACATTTCTGGTGTATTAAAATTACTTTATCTTTTGTATTAAATGGTTTTATTTCTTTCCTATGCTTCGTTTCACTAGCCTAGGTGGGTCGCTGTCCGACCAGAACTAGACCCGAGCGTACGGTGCGTTGCGTTCCGCTCGCGCCTCAAAGGGCCACCAGACCGTCACTCTCGGATGGGACCCAATAGGGCTGATGCCGATTCGGGGCCGCGGAGAACCTAACAGGTTACCGGGGCTCCGGCTCGAAATGCAGGAGTAGGAACGGGGTCGTTTTTAGTCAGTATGAGTCTGACACTCGCTCCCGCCTCACCCAGGCGGGAGAAATCATTTCGATGATTTTCCCCCCTTAAAAAAATGGCGATGACAATATGGCATATTACATGGCGAGTCGTAACATAACTGATGAAGTTTTACACTGCTATTTTATTATGGGGACCACTACGTACGTCTGCTTCCTTATTTGAGAGATAAGATAAGGTTTGCGTGGCACACTAAAGCTATAAAAAATCAGCCCTTCACGCAACCTAAAAATGGGGGCTTTTTTTTTTAAGGGGGGAAAATCATCGAATGACTGCTCCCGCCTGGGTGAGGCGGAAGGGAGTGTCAGACTCTTACTGACTAAAAACCACCCCGTTCCTTCTCCTGCACGTCGAGCCGGAGCCCCGGTTACCCGTTAGGTTCTCCGCGACAACCTAAAAATGGGGGCTACTGTTACGGCTTACCAGGTAGAAACTTTTGTTCAATCACTGCAGCTGATAGATATTGGACGTCCAATGGTTTGTCACTAGCATATTCCCTATTGGACAACGAATGAAAGCACAGACATTATCTATTGTTTTATGCTTGTGAACGAGAGGTCCACACTAGCGCCATCTGGTGAGCAAAAATACGGTAGGCCCCTTTCTACAGGCTGCTGTCCTGCTGTCCCATGATATTGAAATATTTGAGAATGACACTTTAATTTTGGTTACGTTGGTATGTAAGGAAGGATACTTTTTATGGTGTCTCGTGCTGGTCTATTCATTTGTATTCGAATAATCAGACCGAGTACAGCACTCCGACCTGCAACACTTCCTGTGCTAAAGTGACAGCCAAAAATGCATATTCCACGAAAAAGTATTGAATATTATAATTCAACAATTAACTCCACTACTGTGGATTGTAGATATTATTGGAAGTCAGAAATGAATTTTAGGCTAGTTATTCAAGTTTTTAGTTAATTTCTTGAAATTAATGTTTTACCAAACTTTGACAAACATTGGCCTGTCACTTATTGACAGTACATAATAAAAATTCGCTTCGTGAAACAGAGCCGTCCCAGCCCGGACGACATTATTTTGTGCAAGATAGAATCGTGATCTAAAATTGAATTTTTAAATCAAAAACCATGTCTTATAAAGCAGATTTACGGCAATTATTAAAGCCATATTACTGGTTTAATATAATATTAAGTATGTCCTACGTTACGTGTAAGAGGACGGGTTATATTTGCAACTTTTTGTTTCCAAGTTCGGACTGTGAATTGGACAGCAGAGAGACGGAAATATTATTTTTCCTAATTATAGTCGTTATGTTGAGAACGAGGAAGGCGGGAAGTGTGACTATGGTTAACTATTTGTCGTCTTCATTCGTTTATACGAAGATAGCTAACTTAATTCTATGGTTTTACGCGGATATACGGTGAGTAACCACTTCATCTCATTAACCATTATTCTAACTGGTTTCTTGTAGATATTTTTAGTTTAAACATTAGCTTTTCAACTAAACTTACAGCTTTAAAGGCTATTTACCTTGAATTTAGTAGTTTTTATACAAAATTAACTGATTTTATTTCATTATTATGTTGTTTGAATTGTCATTTGTCAACAATTATAGTATTTAGCGGTTCATTGGTTATCTATAGACTACACTGCTTACTTGTATTCAGTGTCAGCTTGTACAATTTGTTAGGTATATGTAAACTCTTTGTAGTTACAACTCATTTGGAAATAGCAATTTATTTCTCACTGTATGATTAGGTACTTACCGCCATACTCAGAGTCATTTAATGTCTTCTTAACCCAGTCCTTTGCAATTGTTTTCGGTGCAAAATCGTTACTAACCCGTTGAAATTGTTGAAAATCATCCCCTAAATTTGTTCATACAAAAGTAGTCTCTAAACATCAGAAATAAGGTCTATAATGTAGTTAGTGGAGAGCGGTCACCAGTGGCCGCTTGGGGATATACGGGCTAAGGAATAGTTTATGGCTTTGACTGCCGACAGAAAACTGTTAAAGGTAAATCCTCCGCCAGCGTGGCCCATACGTAGTCCCCATGGCGTTCAAGGTACTAAGTAATCATTCAATGTCTCTGACTATCACAGTTATAGTTTGTTTGTGTTTTCAGTGGTGTGAAATTGAAACAAATAATATTTTAAAATATTAACTTTAATGTATTTATAAAAATACACTCAATAGTTTAAAATCAGTTTAGGGACAGCGTACAGACAATGACGACTTACCGCATACATGCGAATGTACACACAGGCACACATCAATTTATACAAAACCAGTTTATCCTGGTGTCGGGTCGCATCATCCTGCCGCACATTTAACGTTCAGTTTATACTGGTTGTGTAAAGCTCGATGTGTAGCCGTGTGTACTATAATCGATAGTATCTTACTTTAGATTAAGTACATTAAAAAAATTACCTGAGTGGGTCATTGGGCATTGTAAATCACTACATAGTATAAAACAAAGTCGCTTTCTCTGTCCCTATGTCCCTATGTATGCTTAGATCTTTAAAACTACGCAACGGATTTTGATGCTGTTTTTTTTTAATAGATAGAGTGATTCAAGAGGAAGGTTTATATATTATAAGTAAGAGAAGAGGCGGATCGCTAGTAAAGTCTAAAGGACAAAACCGAAAAAAAACAAGTAATAAAGATCTTATTTTGTATGATCTTTACTCAAATTTGATAGTCAGTTTATACTTATTTACTTGAACAAATTCATATTGTGGTATGATAGATAATCTTGGAAATCTTATAGGTTTTTATTTTATTTTTTTTATAATGGGGGAAAATCATCGAATGTCTGCTCCAGCCTGGGTGAGGCGGGAGGGAGTGTCAGACTCTTACTGACTAAAAACCACCCCGTTCCTTCTCCTGCACGTCGAGCCGGAGCCCCGATAACCTGTTAGGTTCTACGCGACAAATCTTATAGGTTAGGGGGCTTGCTTGTAGTTCTCGTAAATGTAATTAATCTAATTAAACTCGTCAATATGCTGTTTTTAGGCTTTACCAAAAATCATTAATATCTTATCTTAGGTATTTAGGCATAGTTTCAAAAGTTCTGCATTTTTTTGGGCATTCTCCTTTATGTCCACCCAGTCTGTTACAATAGGTAGTTCACTAAATATCAACTTGGTTTGACGGTACAACATAAACAAGAGAGTTAAACACTTAATATAATTGCTAACATGCTAACAGACCTACAATTATTACCTCTTGACTATCATTGAACTGATAATATACATACTTGTTATCACTTGGTTGTGAACTGTCCTTAGTCAGAGCTTGGCAAAAACAGTTTGGAATAATAGAGGTCTCTAGTATCGTCCCTGTGGCAACCTGGTACACTACAACTCCATCGGTTTTGATATTTGCTATTTTTATCGAGTTCAAAAAAAGGACGTACTATGTTCGGATGATCGTTTATTCCTGGTCTGAAGTGGGTGATTCAGTCCAAGCCAATATTAGTTCCAGCTGTCATCGCATCAAATTTTTTGATAACCAATTTGCAATTTCTAAGCCGCCTTGCAAGTATGTAGTTATGATAATACCCTATATTCTCTGGAAAACAGTTCAGAAGTGGTCTAGTAGTTCTTCTGTACAAAAAACAAAGAAATGAAAGATAGATAAGACATAACATAACAAAACATCACGCCTTTTATCCCCGAAGGGGTAGGCAGAGGTGCACATTTCGGCACATAATGCCACTGTAGGTACAATGTAACACCCACTTTTCACTATTTATGTTATGAGTCCCATGTAATAGGGGGTGAGCCTATTACCATATACCGGGCACAATTCCAGGCTCCGTGCTACTACAGAATTTTTTTTTAAAACCCAGTAATATTTGGCCGACCTGGGAATCGAACCCGAGACCCCTTGCCCGGCAGTCGCACTTGCGACCACTCGGCCAACGAGGCAGTATCGGCAGGCCGATATCGGGTCGCGCAAAGTATTACTGGGTTTTAAAAAAAATCTCAGTAGTAGTACGGAGCCTGGAATTGTGCCCGGTATATGGCAATAGGCTCACCCCTATTACATGGGACTCGTAACAAAAATAGTGAAAAGTGGGTGTTACATTGCACCTACAGTGGCATTATGTGCCGAAATGTGCACCTCTGCCTACCCCTTCAGGGATAAAAAGGCGTGATGTTATGTATGTTATGTAAAGAAAACAAATTTTCTTACAGGTATGGCCTGCCCTACGGAGCTATTCTAATTCTATCAGCCTTGCTCCTCCCGGAACCAACATACATGGGCCCAGAACACGTGACCTACTTCCGAGGCCCTCAGGTCCTGGATGATGAGCTGAAACATCATAAGAGCACCACCTGGATTGTCTGTCTGTATGCTGCTTGGCATCCAGCTTGTGTGAACTTCGCCCCGGTGTTCGCTGAGCTGTCTGCAAGCTACAGCTTGGATAATTTGAAGTTTGGAAAGCTTGATGTAGGCAGGTGAGACAATTTTTCATTCGGTACATATTATGACATATTATATAACATAACATCACAACTTTTATCCTAGAAGAAGTAGGCAGAGGTGCACACAGAAGTAACACCCATTTTTCACTATTTATGTTATGAGTCCCATGTAATAGGGGGTGAGCCTATTGCCATATACCGGGCACAATTCCGGACTGCGTGCTACTACTGACATTTTTTAAATACCAGTAATATTTTGCCCGACCCGAGAATCTTTTTTCTCCCAGGAAACAGAATCATGTTACTACTAAGAATTTAATTTCAATAACACTTTCCCTGACCGAAAAATCGAACCCAAATCCCTCTCAATAGTCACTGTTATGACTACTCAACCAGAAATACAAATAACATGACCAACCAATAATTTCATCATCAACAGCCTATAAGCGCCCACTGCTGACCAAAGGGTCTCCTCACACGAAGAAGGTTTGAGCATTAATCACCACGCTTGCTCAATGCGGGTTGCCGATTTCAAACTTACCTCTATAATTAGGAATTATAAGTCCAGGTTTCCTCCCGATGTTTTCCTTCACCGTTTGTCAGTGGTGTCTAAATAATCTTAGAAAGTACATATAACTCGGATAAAGTGACATTGGTACTTGCCGTTGGTAAGTTTCGACTCGTACTCTCATGCATGAGAAGCAGGCGTCTTACACCTGCAGGCCACCACGACTCGACATCAATAATTTACAGCCGTAAAATTTTTAATTCTTTTTTACATTCTTACTAAACCCTAAGAAATATATCGCTTTCTACTTCAGGTACCCTGAAGCAGCAGCTAAGTACAGAGTACAGGATGGCCCGACCAGCCGCCAGCTGCCGACGGTGCTGGTGTTGTCTGAGGGACAGGAGAAGATGAGAAGACCACAGGCCGACCATACGGGGAAACTCCAGAAGTAAGTCAATTTACTAAAATTCGCAGGTTACTCACGTGAATATACTGAGAAAAGCTCTACTACGGCGTGGTAGGCTGCGTGACGTCGACGCGACCGCGCACGCTGCTCATGAGGAAAAGCCCCTCTGTGGTTCGAAACTGGTAGAGCTTTTCTTTTTTTTAGGACATAACCCGGTAAACGAGCAGACGGATCACCTGATCGTTAGCAATCGGATCGCCCATGGACACCTGGAACACCAGAGGCGTTACAAGTGTGTTCCCAGCCTTTTAGGGATTGGGAATTTGAGGATTGTGGAGGATTCGGGGATTCCGGAGACTAGGGAGTGGGGTTATTGGGCCGCCGGTAACCTCACCCACACGACGAAACACAACGCAAGCGTCGCTTCACGTCGGTATTCTGCTCGGCCGTGGTATCACTCCGGTCGAGCCAGTCCATTCGTGCCGAAGCATGGCGCTCCCACACTTAATTTTATTACGATTTTATTGCATTACAATTGAATTGACCTTAGTTTTACCCTGTACTTAAACAGCCGATACGTTTAACCTTCCCAATTTTTCGTGTTTCAGGTTCCTCTTTTCAAAAGACAATGTCAAGGCAGCGTTTGACCTGGACGGCATCTACCAGGAGTGTAAGCAGAGACTGTCAGCTGCCAAGAGTATTAAGAAGGATGAGTAGATTCCACTATGCTTCATCATTGTCGTCATCAGCCTGAAGACGTCCACTGCAGAACAAAGGCATCTAGTGCCTACCTACTACTTTGATGACTGTCTGTACCAAAAGTTAAAATATGCGTTCTCCATCCTCAGATACACATCATCATCAATAGTCTATAAGTACCCAATGCTGGCCAAGGGCCTCTTCTCACACGGAGAAGGTTTGAGCATTAATCACCACGCTTGCTTGAAGGTTGGCGATTTCAAACTTATAATTAGAAATTATAAGCCCAGGTTCCCTCACGATGTTTTCCTTCACCGTTTGTCAGTGGTGTCTAAATAATCTTAGAAAGTACATATAACTCGGAAAAAGTCACATTGGTACTTGCCGTTGGTAGGTTTCGAATGCATGAGAAGCGGGCGTCTTAAACCTCCGGGCTACCACGACCATGGTGCTTACTCTTGAAACCAATCTTAATGTCAATGCAATTTCAATCCAATATAATCTCAATAATTATTCAATGTCAACACTTTACAACCACAATCGTAGCTGTTACAATAGCATTCAGAGTACAGAATATAAAGACAAACTCAATGCCATTTAGTTCATTCAATATCCACGCAATACGGATGCAATGGGCGCTAGTGTTGCCACTCAAGAGTACGAAATTTCGCAATACCAATGTCGATCGATCGGAATTGGATTCAAGAGTAAGTCACCTGATGGTAAGTGGTTACCGTGGCCTATGAACGCTTGCCGATCCTTTATAAACCAACTAGCTTTTACCCGCGGCTTCGCTCGCGTCACAAAAGGATAAAAAAGTAGCCTATGTGACATATACCAATACACACAGCGCCATCTATACCAATAATTTTGTTTTCCCTGGAGAATATCAATTTTCCGGGATAAAAACTACCTACCCTATTATTTAATCCGGACTTCTAACTTTACGTCTGAAAAAATTCAAAGCAATCGGTTTAGTAGTTACGGCGTGAAAGCGGAACAAACAAACAAACACGCTTTCGGATTTATAATATTAGTAAGGATTAGTAAGGATTTACCTACTCCTAGAAGAAAGAATTAATAATTTTGTTTATGTTTGTATATTTATTGAAGTGACATCAAAATATGTCTTAATTTTAATCACATTTAATAATCCAATTAAAAATCTTTTACGCCAGAATTCTGAATGAATACTCAATTCTAGAAAAGAAATGGTGAGGCAAAGTCTCGCACGGTCCTAGCACTAACAATTAGCCTTTTTCCTGGGAAGATTAAAAAAAAATCCGCTAGGGGCAGCACCGGTGGGGGGGTACATATGTTTTGAATTCTCTATTGACAACAACGTCAAACGTACGTCAAAGGTACATCATCTTCAGTTATTTCCATTTTAATTCTACACGCACCCCCCCACCGGTGCTGCCCCTAGCGGATTTTTTTTTAATCTTCCCAGGAAAAAGGCTAATTGTAAAGTAAAAAGCAAATGTCAAATTAGAACAACATAATATGTTGTTCTAATTCATATTATGAAAAGCAATTTAGAGAAATGTAACTACATATATGTTACCAACATGTCAACATGACCTGTGTGTGACCGAAGTAACTCATGTTTTCAATGCAATATAATATATTTATTTTAACGGAACATCTGTATATAAAATGTCTAATTAAACTACTGCCTTTTAGTATATAAGTTGATGTTTTATATGTTGTGTATATTTAAATGGTTTTGTAAATAAATTATACTAGATCGTGCTTTATATTTGGTATTATTTTTCCTTTGAAGCTTTAGACAAGAGCATATACAATGTAACACCCACTTTTCACTATTTATGTTATGAGTCCCATGTAATAGGGGGTCTATTGCCATATACCGGGTATGATGGGTCCTACCGTAGTTTTTTTATTTATGGTATAAGCCGGTAAACGAGTAGACGGCTAACTTTATGGTAAGCAATCGGCGTCGCTCATGGACACTTGAAACACCAAGGCATTAAAGTGTGTTACCGGCCTTTTGGGAATTGGGAATTTGAGGATTGTGGAGGATTCGGGGATTGGTGGGACTCGGGTGGGTAATTGGGCCTCTGATAACTTCACTCTCACGAAAACACAACGCAAGCGTTGTTTCACGTCGGTTTTCTGCTCCTTGGTGGGATCACTCCGGTCGAGCCGGCCCATTCGTGTGCGTGTGCGCAGTTGGAAGCAAACGCTCGTAGTGTCCGACAGAGGGCGCGTTGGGCTCGCAGCGCAGGTGGCAACACCGAGGCGAGCGCCAACGCCAGCCAGTGAGCTGCGCGACGTCGCCGCGACCGCGCACGCTGCTCATGAGGAAGAACCCCTCTGTGGTTCGAAACTAGTAGAGCTTTTCTCAGTATATTCACGTGAGTAACCCGCGTTTTTACTTAATTTAGTATGTCTCACGATAGTTATTATAAAAACAAAGAAACAATTTTCTGAAATATCAAAACCCGTTCAGCCAATTGCGAGATAATAGGGCACATACACACACACTCCTCTTTTCATAGTCGGTTAAAAATAAACAACAATTACACAATATCAAATTAACATTTATTGACTAGATACAAAAGTAAGCAATACTAGATTAATACACCGTCAAATCTATTTCGTTTCCGTCCCGCGGCAAAACGGCTTGCCATTTTTTTTAAGGGGGGGAAAATCATCGAATGACTTCTCCCGCCTGGGTGAGGCGAGAGGGAGTGTCAGACTCTTACTGACTAAAAACCACCCCGTTCCTACTCCTGCACTTCGAGCCGCAGCCCCGGTTACCCGTTAGGTTCTCCGCGACAAAACAACCTGCCATAACGAATAGGTACTTTCGATGTATAAAGTAAAAACAAAAAAATAAAGATGTCATCTTTTTAGTTTAATTTTTTCCATGGCAATACGCACATGATACAATAGAAGTTTGTAGTCATTACTCGCATCGCACGTGCCACCCGACGAAAAATACCTCTTTGAGAATTACATGGCGTGATGTTTTGATAATGTACTATAGAGTTCATACCCGCTTTCGAATTCACCAGTTATTTATCTTATTTGTTTGTAAAACTATTGTAATACCGAGACAGAACCATTTTACTTCGGGATGTAAACGAAATAGATTTCACGATTTATAATAAAAAATCTACTAAATACTTACAAGCATGTCATTTTCTATACACCTCCTGACGCAAAATAGTTACTGTTGTCTAATCACAATCAGTAATTATACTTGTAATGCCTCTAGTAGTTGCGTTGGTCCATGGACGACGCAGATTGCTCACCATCAGGGTGCTTACTCTTGAAACCAATCTCAATGTCAATGCAATGTCAATCCAATAAAATCTCAATAATTATTCAATGTCAACACTATACAACCACAATCGTAGCTGTTACAATAGCATTCAGAGTACGGAATATAGAGGTAAAGACAAACTCAATACCATTTAGTTCATTCAATATCCACGCAATATGAACGCAATGGGCGCTAGTAATGCAACTCGAGAGTACGAAATTTCACAATATGAATGTCGATCGATCGGAATTGGATTCAAGAATAAGCCCCTGATGGTCCGTCTGCTCGTTTCCTGGGTTATCCCATAAAAAAATTACCCAAGTTATTTAATATACAGTTATGAAAATAAATAATGATTCAGTACAGAGACTGTAACCGTTGGTTGTCTAGAGCCGAATGAGTTACAATAGATACGGCTTCGTTATATAGCATACAATTTAGTATAACGACAGCTATTACCTCTTTATTTTCTTATCAAATACTAAATTTATTAACACTACTTCAGTGCTTTTTCTAATTAAATAAAGTCAATAATTGTATACACTTCATTAAATTATAAATTGTAATAGTATTGCAAGAGGGAACAAAACTCTCGCACGTGCTACCACTCGGCCAACGAGGCACTTAAAATTTCATAAATGAATACATAGGTATTTTTACCTAAATATAAAACCGAAAAATACTTTCGTTCTAATACAGAACTAGCAGAGATGCACCTTTAAAAAAAACAGCACTTATTTTCCATTTTCGCACATTACTTAAAACTGAAGAGACTATAATCGACACAAGCGCCACCTAGTCAACGCAAAAAGTTAATAAATCACTCCAAAAAGGTTTGAATCACATTACACTGCGGGTCGGAAGCACAGTAATGTAAACTTTGGAAGATTAACATGTAAAATTACAAAATTTTACAGTATTTCAGTTTTTTGTCACTTTAAAGTTCTTCACATGTCATCATACTCCACGTTCATTCGACGTAGAAATTGATAATGCCACCAAAGACCCTGAAATAAAATAAATATATTAATCATCATGCGTACAGCCACGTACAGTCCCCTGCCTCCCCCTGTTCTCCCCCAGTGACTACACATCGCGAGGTTGGTAGCTATTTGTATACAAAGTGTTGTTTTAAAGCAGCGTCATTTTATTTATAGGAGGTAACTCGGCTATCGATTCCGAGTCCGAATCAGTAAAAAAGTTGTACCTAAATATTTTTCATTTTTCTGTAAATTACGGAAATCCGTAAGCGCGAACTACACGCCGCCCGCGCCGTCTTGTAACTAGTTTTGTAACCCCGCTTAACACACACAAACTCAAACACGTAATTGATATTATTCCTAATTCCATAAAACTCCAATAAGAAACATTGCTGTCGCCTATTCTGAAATACTGTCGAACTTAAACGATTTATTATAGCCGTATTTTTAACTATTGGCCCGAAACTTTCTCTTACATTGAACCTTTATGACTTCTGTGACATGCCCCCGAGATATGCCACGGTTTCAAAACTACACTTGTATAGTGACTGTCGCAGACCTTTATCAATTCCTCGTCCACCATATGGGCGGACGTCTTGCATGGCGCTTTTTCTATAGGACAAGCTCGCCACAATCTCCCAAACCCGCTGCAACTCCTGTAAGCCAGGATCTACTGTAGATACAACCATGAAAACACCGGAACACTGAAGTTCGGCGCGTCCCAGGGACATGAATAACTGTCTCGGTTCCCGCAACGAAGTGAATCAGAAGATATTACAAGAGAAGAAAACAAACGATAGTCTGTTAACGGTAGTTGCATTACGCTACGGCTATATCATATCATTTATTAATATACTGTATTGGAAAACTTCGTTCCGCCTAAAAATTTCTTTTTATCAAACCTTTTAAACCTTCCCTGGACTACCACAAACATTTCAAGACCAAAATTACCCAAATTGGTTCAGCCGTTCTCGAGTTCTAGCGAGACTAAAACGGAAATTAATTTTTATTTAGGTAATACAGATATAGATTAAAAATGAAACTATACTCATTTGACGCCCATTTTCATAAACCACTCTTAAAATTTAAGGAACTCCTAAGCTAAGATAGGTGATAATTAGAAATTATAAGTCCAGGTTTCCTCACGATGTTTTCCTTCACCGTTTGTCAGTGGTGTCTAAATAATATTAGAAAGTACATATAACTCGGCAAAAGTCACATTGGTACTTGCCGTTGGTAGGCGTCGCACCCTCGTGCATGAGAAGCGGGCGTTTTATCCTCCACCACGACATATTGCTTACCATCAGGTGATTCATTAAACTATTCCCTAAAATGGATATTTTAAGAAAATATGAATACAAATAATAAAAATATACAGCTTGGCAAAAAAGAGTTTGGAATAACAGAGGTCGCTAGTATCGTACCTTTGTTGTTTCGGGTCTGGGTGTCATGTGTATGTGAATTGTATGTTTCTAAACGCACCCACGACACAGGAGAAAATCATAGATTGGGGAAACGTTTTTTTTAAATAATAAAAATAAATTATTATGTTTTCGGCTTACTCACGTAATAATTTCACGAGGACCTCGACTATTTTCAAGCCATGCTAGAGGCTCATATTCATGAGTAGCATTTCGCGACCCGTGACGCGGTGACTGTCGCGCTGCTACTGAGCAGTTAGTAGCAGCGCGACGTTTACGTGATTATTACGTGAGTAAGCCGAAAACATAATAATTTATTTAGTATGTCTCACGAAAGTTACAATCTATATAAATAAAAATGAATTTCTGTTCGTTAGTCTCGCTAAAACTCGAGAACGGGTGAACCGATTTGGCTAATTTTGGTCTTGATAGGTTCGTGGAAGTCCAGGGAAGGTTTAAAAGGTGAGAAAAAGTTTTTAGGCGGTACGAAGTTTGCCGGGTCAGCTAGTACAAATATATAAATAAATCTAGTTCCAGCTGTCACCGCGTCAAACTCTTATTGCCAAGCTGTGAGTAAGCTTTTAAAACAAAATAAACTACATTATCTACTTCTTGCCTAAAGGACGAACATTTCAAATATCATATCGAGGATATTCAGGAGCTTCAGGAACCGAGGCTTCGGCTCCTCGTCAGGCTTCCGGGCCGCTGGCTTTTCTCTTCTCTTTTCAGCATCTGGCAACAAATACATATTATTTTTCTACTTGTACTACTAATATTTATATATATAATAAAACTGTACGAGTGTACATTCTGTACATTGAAAATATTTATTAAAAAAATATTGTAGGTGTTACTAGATAGACACCGAACCCAAAATAGTGATTAAAAAAAAATTGTCTGTCTGTATGTCAACGCATCACGCAAAAACTACCAGTCCGATAACGATGAAACTAAGTATGATTATACTCTTATACTGTGGTATTAAATAATAAATGTGGTATAAGAATATATTATGGTACTTTTTATCCCGAGAGTATACACACAAAAAACAAACTTAATTGGATAGTTTCCAGGGTATCAAAATTAAAAATCTAATTAGTCCGTCAGTTACATAATGAAAAAATATTAGACACGTATTTTTTTATTTTCTCGTATTAAGTTGCAATACTTAGATAAAATAGCGCTAAGTTTAGGAGTAGGAGGTCGTTACGTCATAACGTACTACAAAATGTAGCACGCTGAGACGTCACACGATATTACAAATTAATATATCGTCGAAAGTATTTAATTTTGTGAGAAAAGAAAAAAATACGTGTCTAATGTTTTAAATGAATTAGAGATGGGCACTGGGAAAAAACCCAAAGGGAAAAAACCCAGGTTTTTTCCCATTTGGGAAAAAACCCGGTTTTTATGTGGGAAAAAACCCAATAGGCAGGTATTTTCATTTATAATGATCTTATTCTATTTTTATTTTCAGAACTAAATAAATAGGTACTTTGTGATGCGCATATACCTACATTCACTCAAAAATGTATCGGGAATGGATGATTTGTTTATGGTTATATTAAATACAGTGCTGGTTTCAGAAATATCATATATAATGTGTATTGTGAATTTCATAATGGACACAAATATCGATCAAAGAGTTTGTCTTAAATTTTGCATCGCCAATGGAATTTCGTGTTCGGAGTCACTGAAAATGTTACAGAAAGCTTACGGTGAATCGACTTTATCAAAAACTCGTGCTTATGAGTGGTTCAAAGCGTTCGAGATGTAATGGAAGATTTGCCTCGCTCTGGTCTGCAACTATAGTTAACATCGCAAAAGTGAAGGAAATAGTGACTGAAAATCCCCATTCAACTCTGAGAGAGATAGCCACCGAACTTTCTGTATCTCACGAGTCGATCCATACCATTTTAACTAATCTATACTATACATTAAAGGGTATGAAACATGTTGCTGCTCGGCTAGTTCCAAAAGATCTAAATTTTCTCCAAAATCTCAATCGCATGAAAGTCGCTGAGGATATGCTAGAACGAGTCAGTTCGGACCCAACATTCATGAAACGCATTGTTACTGGTGACGAGACGTGGGTTTATGAGTTTGGCATGCAAACTAGTCAACAAGCTTCGGAGTGGCGCCTTCCAACTGAACCGAAACCGAAAAAACCACGCCAAAGTCGATCAAAAGTCAAAGTCATGTTGACTGTTTTCTTTGACTATCGCGCTGTTGTGCACTCTGAATTCTTACCGGAAGGTCTAACGGTAAATAAAGAATATTATTTGAGCTTTATGCGGCGTTGAAGAGAGCAAATTCTACGAAAAAGGCCAGATTTGTGGAAAGAAAATTCTTGGATTTTGCACCACGAGAAAGCGCCTTCGCACAAGGCTATCATTGGTGGCATCAAGGTGAACGAATTTTTGACCAAACACTCAACAAATACCATCCAGCAACCACCATATTCACCAGATATGGCTCCTGCTGACTTTTTTCTTTTTCCTAAACTCAAATTACCACTTCGTGGCACCCGTTTTCAATCGATAGAAGACGTAAAGGAGAATTCGCGGCGAGAACTAAACTCAATTCTGGAAGCAGCGTTTAAAAAATGTTTTGATGAATAGATTATTCGTTGGCGCAAGTGTATCGTCTCTAAAGGAGCATACTTTAACTCGTTGAGTACCGTCATTACAGACAATTAAAGAACAATAGGTTGCGGTCACCGGTGACAGTTTAAACTGTCAAACACCGACCGCTCGGTGTTTGACAGTTTAAAGGTGATAAAATAAATTTGGATGAATAACAGAAATTTTTTGTATTATTGATCTTTTCCCGGTACTTTCTTGACAGAGTAGTACTTAGCACCAGCGTGTATAAGGCACTAGCTGTTGTCTGTTATTTGAAACGTTAAAATGTGTAGTCTATTTCAAGGACTAAAACATAACCAGCATATTTATTATAACACCATAAAGACGTCTTCTTGTTTTATAATAAGTTTTTACTGCGCTCTGTGATGGAATGTTAACAGCAGAAAAAATACCTATTAAACTTTAAAGAATGTTTGACTAAAATAATATAATTAAAACAACGAGAGATACTCTTACTAACAATCATTTATTATACTTTACAAAAGTTACAAAACTGTAAATTTACCGGTAAATTTCGTTCGTAAAAAAAGTAGGTATCAAAGTCCGTAAGAGTAGCAGTTGTTGTCAATTCAAAGGATTAGGTAACCAAAAGTCCACCAAACAAAATCCAAGTCGTCAATTAAACCAACAAATTAACACGAGTGCGCACAGTATGAAGCCGAAACAACATGTGAGATAGATAGATCACCAACGCGCTCGCCCCTCTTCTACCTGCTTCCCTGCCCTTCTACCCGCTTACGTATTTTCGGATTACCTGTCGCTAAGAGCGGAGTATCACACACAGACAGACAGGATTTTTGTTTAATTTCATTTTCTTTCATTTGATAGTAGGTACCTAAAGATAATAAGAACGTTATTACTGCAATATGAACATAAACAAAGTTAGATTAGCTCTAACTTGTAGTAATAGTTCTTAAATAGTACGTACTATATGATATGTACATAATCTACACATTACTTATTTGTTACATGTGTTAAATATGAAAAAACCCGAATATTTTCCCATTCGGGAATTTTCCCCGGGTTTTTTCCCGGTTTTTTCCCACATTCGGGTTTTTTCCGGGTAAAATCCCATCTCTAAAATGAATATACCAGACGGACATTAAAATAAAATTTAGGAAACTACCCTATTGTGCAGCTCGATCTCTATACACGATTACTGTACCTACCAAACGCAAATATAAGTTTGACGAATGTTGGGTTATCCGGCCCGCAGTGGACTTTACGCTGTAACTGTGGGGCCGATGGTCGAAATCAGCTTGTACCGCTATTATAATTTTTTTTAATGGGACAAGCCCGCAAACCCTCCCAAAACCACTGCAACTCCTGTAAGCCAGGATGTACAGTAGATACAATCATGATAACACCGGAACACTGAAGTCCAACGTCCCAGGGACATGAGTAACTGTCTTGGTTTCCGCAACGAAGTGAATCAGAAGATATTATAAGAGGAGAAGAAAAAAAACAATAGTTTCCACTTCCCTCGCTATTATAAATGTGGTAATTTGTCTGTAACATACATAGTGTTACTCAGTAATATCAAAATTATGGTCTTTTTTTAAGGGGGGGAAAATCATCGAATGAGTTTTCCCGCCTGGGTGAGGCGGGAGGTAGTGTCAGACTCTTACTGACTAAAAACCACCCCGTTCCTACTCTTGCACTTTGAACCGGAGCCCCGGTAACCAGTTTGGTTCTCCGCGGCTCCGTATCGGGCATCAGCCCTATTAGGCCCCATCTGTGGTGGTCTGATGGCTCTTTGAGGCGCGCGCCGTACGCTCGGGTCTGGTTTTGGGAGTGCCACCCATGCTCGCCGTCCGTAGGCCCGCGCTTACGGTGGCTGGAGATCGTAAAAAATATGGCATGGAGTACTTTTTTTACATAGGCTACTTTTTACCCTCGGGAACGCAGGCGAAATCTGGTCTATTATAAATGCGAAAGTTTGTAAAGATCTATTTATTGATGTTGTTGGTGATTCTTTAAAAAATTCTTCATTATCAGAAGCATTTATTTCGATTAACCCTCGAGACTAGAGGGCTGGTATGGTTCTCGTTCAGAGGTTAAGCATTGCCATACAACGTGACAATGCTGCCAGCCTTCTGGATACTTTCCCTACTGACGATGCGGACGAATTTTTTTATGCTTTCAATACCTAAATAGTCATTTATAGTTTTCGTTTATTTTATTTTCTTCTATTAATTTTAGTGTATTTTAAGTTGTACAAATTAATATTTTCCCTTGTTTCTAAAAGATTTCAACCGTTGATTGGGTCTCCGATAAACTCACTCACACGACGAAACACAACGCAAGTGTAATTTCACTATGGTCTTCTGCTCGGCCGTGGTATCACTCCGGTCGAGCCAGCCCTTTCGTGCACAAGCATGGCTCTCCTACACTAAAGACGGTTTTATACCAATGAGAATTCCGAATAAAGGGGAGGGCAAAGTACTAATTGATTTGCCCTACCCAAGAATTAAAGGCAGAACGAACTATTTGTCGCTCGTAAGTACGTAGTAAAGTCGCAAAATTTTTAGACCTCCTAAATTTTATATAATAAATATATGTATTTTCAAAATAATCTATCTTCTACCGGGGTATCGACATTCGTACCAACTATAAAAACTATATTTTACGCCCTCGAACATAGCAATAATATACCATAGACTAAGTCTACACATACGTCCGGCCTACTCTCACGTTAGAAAAATCTAACTCGCCTTTACAATACGACCAACTAAAAAATCACTTCAATTTTCACATTACCCACGGACACTTCAACATTCGCAATCTAGCCGGATAACTGCCAAATACCTATTTACTTCATATTCCACACAGAATTATAGTCTTTATTTCCTAATACTGAAGAACTAAAGAGCGATACACAAATAATACAATAAGCTGTCTCTTTCTGGCACGCGACCTGTCAATATGCGCGAAAGAGATGCGCATTGTTTATTTTTGTAAGTTGGCGCGAACGGCCATCTTAATTTGTTGTTATTGTATGTATTGCACTCAAAGTTTCGTGAATGCATTTTCGTGTTCGGGAGTCCATTGTACGAGTTAAGATATTTAATTTAAATTCATTGTTAAATGTTTTTAATTATGTGTAGAATAGTAAAAAAATTGGTTAGAAAGTGTTCAGTGTAATTAGACATGGAAATAAATACGAGAAATCATGTGCAAAAAGTTTTTACTCGGAAAAGTTTAAAAAATGTAATGTGCCGTGCCGCAAATCGTAAAAATAAGTTAAAATAAGTGATTTTTAATGAAAAAATGTGATATCAAAGTGCGTGCAAAGGTCTTGTATTAACAAACTGTGGAAAAAGGTGTAATAAAAGTTTTTTGCAATTGTGAAATCAGTGCCATCTTGAAAAGTGAGTTTAGTGGAAATTATCGCGGAACGGACAAATGGCGGAGGCTTCGCCCTCAACTCGGCGAATAGACAATGGCTTTGTCTTTTCATTTTTCTTTGGAAAACAGGTAAAGAACTTAGCAATTAAAAAGAAGAAATCCTGGCATTTTTTTTTAATAATAAGTGCGACATTTTAGATTTTCTACAAAATGGCTGAATGAATTTCAGTTTGAATAGACTGTATTTTAAAATAGTAATTTTAGTAGATATTGTTTTTGAAAAAACAATCTTCCTATGACATCCGACCATAGCTAACCAATGGAAACTCGTCAATATTTTTTTTCTATTAAAATTGGATTTTTCTTTTATTATTTGTTTAATGTAAAGTATGTATTTATTATGATGGATTATTATATTTGTCAAATTAAATTCTAGATTTTTATTTATGTGGTCCCCTTTTTTAGCAGAACTTTAGTGATAGGAAACCTGAACATGTGCACATTTGAATTAATTAACAGTAGAGGGATAAGATGGAGATTTATATTTTCTACATAATTTTTAATGTATTTACATATACATACTAAATTCTAGAATGCGCTTGCCAAAGCAATAAGAACTGAAGTACATTTTTCAAAAGATCTGATTCCGCTTATCCAATTTACATGAGCTTAAGTTTTTCTCCGAGTCCTCTAGTCGGAGACAATTATATGAATTCAAAATTTACCAAAAGAATGGTGAGTAGTTAAAACATACAGAATCATTCATAATACTAGTTGGTTTAGTCAGGATGATTACACTAAAATGTGAAAGGTTCTTTGTTTAGATGTTTGTCCGTCAATGACACTGAAACTACTGAACGAATTTTCATGAAATTGGTATACATGCATGAGGCAGTGTATGAGCTGAATTAGGTGATAGGATACTTTTATTCCGATTAAATGGTCCCATGGGACAAAATAGGAATTGGAAGAAGACAAGCAAAGTTAAGGGTAAAAGCTAGTATAGTATAAAACAAAGTTGCTTGCCGCTGTCTGTCCCTATGAAAGTACGCTTAGATCTTTCAAAGTCAAAGCATATATTTCAATTAAAGCATAATTTGGTACTTTTGAAACATTAACAAATACAAAATAAATAATAGTCTTGAGTCAGTCCGTCAGTGAAGCTAGGTGCTCATTCCAAAATGTAGATGAGAAGAACGAGCAAGAAACTTCATTTGTTACTCTTTTTAAAACTTTTTCAACTACAGAATGGGGTTAGCAAGTTTTTTTTTTATAGAGTGATGCAAGAGTAAGCTTTACACAAATAATAACATCCAACAGCACACATGCCAAGCTGCAGGCAAATGGGTAATTAATATAAATATTCTGAGACAAACTACTTTGGAGCATTAACCTTTCCGTGTGACTAAACTGCGGATCCACGCGAGACAATGTATTATCACCGATATCAGAACCAAAAAAGGGGGTAGATCTTCATAAGATGGGATGATGACCTCAGGCAAGTGGCAAGTGTTACATGGCACAGAGTAGCTCAAGAATGGATAAGGTTGAAGGAGGCATTTGCCAACCGACAAACAGATCTCCAGAAAATCAGTAATAGGTAGTTTATAGAAACATACTAGAACTAAGCAATGTAAATTTTAAACAATTTTAAATTATGTAATGGTTATAAGTTGGATCTGAGTAAAGGGCTACTTCAATACATAGTATAAAACAAAGTCGCTTTCGCTGTATGTCCGTATGTATGCTTAGATCTTTAAAACTACGCAACGGATTTTGATGCGGTTTTTTTTAATAGATAGAGTGATTCTTAAGGAAGGTTTGTATGTATAATACATGCATATTGCACCCGTGCGAAGCCGGGGCGGGTCGCTAGTATACAATATAAAATTAGTGTTTTGTAAATTATAAAATTTTATTCTATTATTATTATTATTTCTACACCGGTTACAGTTGTGTATGTGAAACAGCTGTATTATTGAGATCTGTATGCATCATGTACTGAGAAATAGACGATATTATTATTATACAATCAAGGGGTTAATTAATTACCTAAATGTCTCTCTCCTTCACCGATCCCCTGGTGAGCTCTCTCTATAGCCATCACCTGCTCCTCGCTGAACACTGTTGAAGCATCGAGAAACACTTGGATACTGTACTCCGAAAGATAATGTGACCAGTGTCCAAAGACACCGATACCTGGAAAATGTTGAAAAAAAATATAGTCATGAGACTCTTCAAAGAGTTCAGTGCAGTCAGTTCCTGCATTAAGCCGGAGCCCCGGTAACCTATTATGTTGTTAGCAGCTCCGAGGACAGATGGACTCTTACCTTTGTAGTTTGATTGGAAATATTCCAACTTGATTTAAATAAGTAATAAATAAATTTAATAGAGAAGTAAGTACAGTATATAAATGTTGATGTTACTAACCTATAGGTCTCGGAAAGTCCGATGGAATGAAAACCGAGTCAGACCCGCAGGTTATGGAACTGAAGTTGTTTTTGTCCACTTCATAACTCGGCCTGGAAATTATGAAGGATAATTTTATGACTAATGGCTGGCAGTATATGCAGTGTCTGGGTAACTAATTACGCAAGGCAAGGTGATTCCCACTTGGAAACAATATAAGTATGTCTATGGATAGTTGTTCTGAACCTGTTGTTAAGATACAATGCGGCCAATATTAGGATTTTGTCTCATGTCCTTTGTTCTATTTCCATTATTCACTAGCTGACCTGGCAAACTTCATAAAACCTAAAAATTACTTTCTCACTTTTCCTTGGACTTCCACGAACATTTCAAGACCAAAATTAGCCAAATAGGTTCAACCGTTCTTGAGTTTTAGCAAGAGTAACGAATGGAAATACATTTTTATTACTATGGCATAAGCCGGTAAACTAGCAGACGGTTCATCTGATGTTAAGCAATCGGCGTCGCCCATGGACACCTGGAACACCAGAGGAGTTACAATTGCATTACTGGCCTTTTGGGGATTAGGAGTTTGAGGATCGTTGGGGATTCAGGAATCGGAGAGATTGGTGAAGGAGAGGGTAATAGGGCCTCCGGTAACCTCACTCACACGACGAAACACAAGGCAAGCGTTGCTTCACATCGGTTTTTTGCTCGGCTGTGGTATCACTCCGGTCGCACCCGCACATTCGTGCTGAAGCATGGCTCACCCACCAAATAGATGGACACATAACCTTCCATTTCCTAAATCTAAATTACACTGCTCTGCATCTTGTTGGCTTAGTAAGTATCCTAAGGGCCGATTTTTCAATTATCAGTTAATTCTTATTATGGTAGAATAAAATTGTCATTAGACAGTTTTTAATATAATTCTCAATTATTCATAATTATTCCTCAGTTATAATTTATTGAGTGTTTGAAAAATCGGCCCCAAACCTGTTAATATATCGTACCTAAACTTTGAAAATAAGGTCTATAATGTGTAATATAAAGTGGAGTGCGGATACCCCTTGGGGATTGAGCAGTTAATGGCATAAAGACATACCTAGCTGATTTTGGACCAGAATTAAAGAGAAAAACAAAAATTGTGATTTCCTTATTAATCAGTAGAATAGACAGATAGTATGCAAATTGATTGATATATTTTTAATTAGTTTAAACTGTCAAACACCAAGCGGTCACCGGTGACCGCAACCTATTGTTCTATAATTGTGTCTACAAAACCGGTACTCGACGAGTTAATATGACTTACATCCGTAATATAACCTTTATACTTCAAATATCTACATCAAAGAGATATACCGAGTCTTTAATCTATGTACTAAGCACTAGTTTCACTAACGACTACAACACAAATACAGTTCAAAACAATATTTATTACTAAACACAAAAATATTTACATAACTTTAAGAGGTTAGGAAAAGTTCAAGTTATACGCAAAAATAAGGTTACCTGACCACATACCTGATTGTATCAGAGACATAGAGGTCTGCGTCACCAGATAGAGAAGTAAGTTCCACCAAAAGGGGTCCTATATGCATTAGTTGCCAATATGAAAAGTTACCAGCACCCACAGCACCAACTACGGTGTCTAATAGTATTTTATCCGTTTCTATTTGTACATATCCGGATAATAGTGAACTTAATGTCGATACACATATAATACCCAACAAAACTAAGATGAATTCCCTACGCATTGCTTTGTATTTCCTAATAATTCAGTCACAAACAGAATTTCTGCAAAAATGCTAACCAAAACCTTCAATTGGAATGTCAAACTGACAGTGACAGTTTGAAGGTTATGGTTTCGTTCTGAAATTAGCAAATGATGAAAAGAGGTTGTTGAACCGGTTCGTCAAGAAATTAATGCATAAGGAAAAAATTGTTTCAAAGACGCCTTTTACTAATTTATTTGAGGTACTTTAAAACGAAATACCCTTTTTAAAATTAATTTATGTGACTTTATAGTCCTAATACTTTGGAGACGGCCTGGCGCCGTACGTCATGAACTCGTCGGCTTAGCGAAATTCCATCATCTATTTTTATCAATAACTGAAGTAAACGTATTTACGTAAACAGCTTTACAGTTCGATAATAATAGAATAAAACTGTCGAAAACAATGACGTTGAGGCGAAGATTAATTATTTTATTTTCCATTCCTTCGCTATGTACTTTTTTTGTTTTTACCGATTTCTAGCCTTTTTGTAATTAGATTGAATCCAATACTTCTCAGATTTAAGAGCAAATACTTTACGAAATGTTAATTTGAGAAATAAAGAATATTTCTTTACGTACGGATACAAGTTATTCTTATAAAATTATTGTTTAGGTCTTCGAAAACAAATAGGAATAATAGTTTTAAGATTGAAAAAATGAGATTGTGATATGATTACTTGTGATAGGGAAAAATAGAAGGAAAATTCTACATCTACAAAAATAACTTCGGTTGTTGAGAGAGGAAAATTTTCTTATATAATTTTTTTATTGATACTAGGTACATACTTTACAAAACAATAACAAAAAGATAAAGGCAGATAATATTATACTTTGTTTCAATACCTACCGAAAAGTATACGTAAAAGAGATATTACTCTTAAGTTGTATACCTATCACAGTTTAAAAAAAACAAAGTAAAAACACTTCATACGTTATCAATTCTTTTGAAGTTGTTTTAATAAGTCATCTCGATCCTATTATGTCATACAAAGTTATATTTTTGCATCGGTTTACATCATTTTTTATGGGATAATATCCGGTAAGCGAGCTTGCGGATCACCTGATTTTGAGCAATCGGTGCGGCGTCGCCAATACCCGACACCGGGAATACCGGAGTAGAGGCGTATCAAGTGCGTTACCGGCATTTTGGGTATTAAAAATTTTAAGATTTTAGAGTATTCAGGGATTTGGGAAGGGGGGAAGTAATTGAGCCCCGGATAACCTCACTCACACGAAGATTACGAAACACAACACAAGCATTGTTTCACGTCAGTTTTCTGTGAGGCGGTGGTATCATTCAGGTCGAGCCGGCCCATACGTGCCGAAGCATGGCTCTCCCACACTTATGAAGTTTATTTTATACCCGGATAAGAAAAGATCGTTTTTTATGAAATCGTACGACATTGTGACGTATTGATAAGTACCTACCTAAGTTAATCATATAACTATTTACATGTGATAAAGAAAAAATACAAAATAAATGAGTGGTTACTTAAGTGTAATAGGTAAATAGTTAACAATGAATCATTATTATTGTCATCACCATATTTGTTTTTTCTGATAAAAATGAATTTCAACGGAAATTACTATCTTATTTTCGTATAAAATCTTCAATGAACATGTTATTATCTTATAGATAAAAAAAAACTAAATGCCTTTAAAATGTGTAGTGAAAAAAACAAATATGTGACGGCAAAGTAGAATAGAATATACTAGCTGTTACCCGCGACTTTTCTTTAAATTGGGTTTCTGGCTGTACGACTGTAACAAATGTCATCAGAATTGATTCAGTGCTTATGATACCTATAATTATTTATTGCTAAATTAATATATTTTCGTGGTTTCAAAAAATAAACAATCCCTCGGGAGTTTTACCCGTACAGTACTCTCGTCTGTCGCGGAGAACCTAACGGGTAACCGGGGCTCCGGCTCGACGTGCAGGAGAAGGAACGGGGTGGTTTTTAGTCAGTAAAAGTCTGACACTCCCTCCCGCCTCACCCAGGCGGGAGCAGTCATTCGATAATTTTCCCCGCTTAAAAAAAAACAGTACTCTCGTCTATTTTATGTTGTACCGAATTTCAATCAAATATGTATAGTGATTCGAATTATTCACCACTACTTTTTTTCCGTGATTTTCGTGTGTTCATAGAGTAGTATTATACAGGATGCGTGTGTTGTACACTTGTAAGAGCTAACAAACGGGACTAAAGAACAACAAATTATGACAGACTGGGTAGCAGCGCCCTCTGATTATAAAATCTGAAACTTTTTAATCTTTGACCCGCTGTAGAGGAGGTTTCTAATCTATGACTGTAACGGTCTATTTATGTTGCTGTGCCCCTAGGTCCCGGAGAATTGGTCAAATATTACTTTCACAACAAAATTGTGCAAACAAGCTGTCAAGCTTCCTTTTGTGAACGGCTAAGGAGTTAAGGAATCAAGGAAGAAGCTAAGGAATGGAACTCCTTTGCGGGATCTGTGTTTCCCGACAAAATATCTTGGATGTCTTCAAGTCCCGAGTGAACAGGTTGTTCATAGATATGCGTGCTCTATTGTCAGCCACATCATTGCTCTTACCACCACGCGATATGGTGCCCAAACGCCGACCTATCAAGTATAAAAAAAATATAAATTATACAATTCCATGCTGTACTTTTGGAGTTGTACGATCAGCATCAAAAGTTGATGTTGACATTTAGGTTATTAGGGATTTTAAAATCGCTGTACAGCATATTACCTAAATCGGGCAACATGACCTGTCCCAGAAATAAATAAATTATCCTGTGTTGCATTTAAGGTACTTGTCATGTTCGATGATTGAGGTATAATACGGTGTACAACGATAATGAAATACTAAATGTTTTCATCAACTTTTTGACGCTGACCGTACGTACTTATATACAATATTTTTTAATTGATATACAAATAAATATCTAGAGAAAGATAGAAATCAAAATACCTATGAATTCATTCATAAAATTAATTGTAATTTCTTGTTTAGTATTTGTTACTTAATATTATGCATATCCTGTCTGTTATCTTCCACGGAAGTAGGCAAAGGATAATAAAATATTATTATGACGCACTTTTCATCAGTTTTTAACCGACTTCCCAAAAAGAAGGGGGTTCTAAATTCGGTCGATATATTTTTAGTTTTTTTTGTTATTAATCTACTAGCGAGACTGACTGCCTCTGCCACGAGTGGTCGCTAGCGAGACTGCTGATCAAAGAGTTTTGATTTGGGCCAAAGTTTAATTCCAACTCGTTCGAACTCCATCTTCGCGCCGTAACCACGGTAACTGCTTGCGTTTCTCCGCAGCCCCAATGGGGGCTACTGTATTTTTGCGAAGCAGATGGCGCTAGTGTGAACTTCTCGCTCTACGTCCAATAGCGAACTAGCTAATATCACGTCATTGGACGTTCACTATTTGACAGCTACAGTGATTGGACAGGAAACCTCTACTTATTTGCGCCATTTGGATAACAAAATATTATATTCAGTAAAAAGTTACTATCATTATCAGTAAGGAGATTGAATTATTATAGTCTACATGGGACTCATACCACAAGTGGTAAAAAGTGAGTGTTATAATGTATACATACATATATGTCTGTGCACCTCAGTCTTCCTCTTTGAGGATTAAAAAACGTTGTATAATGTTACAAATTACTAGCACTCTGCGCTTTTATACATTCTTTATATTAAAACTTTCTTGAGACATACTAAATTAATTATTATGTTTTCGTTTTTATGGAACTCGACTAATTTCAACCGATGCTAGAGGCTCATATTCATGAGCAGCATTCCGCGACCCGTGACGCGGTAAGGGTCGCGATGTTACTAGCTGTTCGACGCTGCGCCCTCTGCCGTCATTCACATACAATCTTATCGACATTCGAAAATCCACGGATCAAATGTCAGTAAAAATGAAAATCTTACTGAACAGTATCTCTTGTTTCGTCATTAATGAAATATTTTTAATTGTTTCACAATTAACACAATCAGTTATAAGTAGTATTCGATAACGAGACTAGTTTTACGCATTGTAATCATGATAGTACGTAGTAGGTATAATGATGAAAAAATATTAATAATTTAATATTAAACTCGATAAATCCGCGCACTCACTTCTCGGATCATTGGTCATAGGTAGTGTGATGTTTTTAGCGTGGACATGACAATTCTAGCCAATATAAGCCAACAAAACACAGGTTAATGATGATAACGATGAACCATGCGCGTATTTCATGTATATTTACTCATAGAAAACAAATTTCGAAATCGACCTTGAATAAAAAAAAAACTTGACTGTCCCAAGACACCTATAATGCCTCCTATTGCCCATTCAACGCAATATGCATAGAAAAAAAAAACAATAACCATAGAATAAATATGCTTGTCTGTGACCAACATTCCGTCCCTTTTTTATAAACATAACTGTGTACAAGACACACCCAAGATTGGGCCACGTCAGCATTTTTCGTCTCTTTTACTCCCACTACATTGAAAAGAGAAAAAGCAACAAAAACAAAGCATCAGCTGGGCACATCCTGGCAGGTTGCACAGCTGCTGTTTATTTACATTCTCCCATTCTAGTTAGACATTTCAGGGTGGCGCTGCTTGCGAAGACGAAGTGAAATTCAGTACATTAATTTTTAGTTCCGATTTCTGCCGCGTTTCAAGTTATTTTGGTTGTTAAAAAGTGTTAGTAAAAAGTTAAAATCAGCTGCCTTTCCTGTCGGTTATTACGCGCAATTAAATATTTCGTAAAATTAAGCTATAAATGGATTTTGAAAAGATAATTTGAATAATTTAGGGTAACCAAATAGTTTAACTAAAGAACAAAAATAACTCCAGTAAGCAGCCTTATTTTTTTCGTTTTGACTTTTAATCTAGTTTATAATGCTTCTTACATTTTACATTTTAATTTTTGACGAAATTATTTATTGCCCTCTCCAGCTATTGTAGAATTCTATACACCAATGGGCAATGGCTACTCATACGTTTTACACGTAACGTATAATAAATAAAAAAGGGGTAAAAAACCAACAGAAATAGAC